GGAATAGCAAGGAGGGAGGCTGCTGCACCAGTGCTGACTCTAGGGAGGAAAAGAGAGTTCGCCTAAAGTAGGACACAGGTCTACAGTGCGAGTTCAGACGATCCAGGGAAAGTTTCCTAGAAGCCCAGAGGACTGCATGGAAGGTGTTTGAATCAGAAAGCCACTGAAGGTTGCTGGAGCAGACTGAAAGGAAACAATTTGTACTGCAAAGATGCTGTTTACAGGAGATGGATTTATTTTTAAGCCTTTCTGCCCTGCCCAGCTGTTCCGAGTTCCCTCTATTTAAAGCAAAACCCTCTTATTCTAAGTTTGCAATTTTTTGATATCACTCCAACAAAGTGTGGCTTTAGAGACTGGGAGTCTGTGGGTGTGCTCTCTGCAGGGAAGACAGTGGGACAGCTCTGGTGCAAGGCACTGGCCTGACTGCCATCCTGCCGCAGCACTGCCAGAAGCAGCTCCAGGTAATCCTCAAGTTCAAAACTATTTGTAAGTGAGGTTACTGGAGGAGGGACAACAATGCCATATCCTCAAATTAATGCACCTATATAGTGCTGAAGGACACAGAAGGGTGGGTTCGTTATTCTACTTTTTCCCCTTTTCTGGTTGAGAGAGAGAGGGAAAGAGAAAGGAAGAAGAAAGGAATATGGGGATGACATAACTGCAAAGAAGTCATTAACAAACCCCTTGTAGGAACTGTGGGACAAAATTAAATCTCTTCTATTAAAGTGAATGATCAAAGGGAAAAACCTGTGATTTTTGGTCAATTCAAAGGCCTACAGGGAAGTTGGAGGGACCTCCATGGAGGGAACTAAGCAGAGACAGAACCTGCTTCAAGGAAGGAAAACAAGCACACTTGGTCAAAAGAGAGGGACCCTGAGCCTCCCAAAATGCTTACGGAGCCATGAAAAGAAGCAAGAAGACAGTGGGGTACCAGAGGGACACAGAGGCATTGTGCAGCCTGGAGTGCTGAAACCCAAGAACAACAAAACAGGCAACATCAGCAACTCTGATGTGGGTCTCAAGACCCACTTCCTTCAGCTGAGGCACAGCTAGGAGAGAGAAAAGGCTGATGAACCTTCCCATGGGGTGCATTCCTGGGAAGAGTGGGCACTGTTCCATGCAGCCAAGGGTCCTGAAAAGCAAGCAGACAATGAATGTAGTCTGAATATGACCAGGAATACAACCAGGCAGTATGCCCAAGGACGGAGAACCAGGTGCTGGATTACCTAGTTCCAGGACTAAGTAGGCCAAGTTCACTACGTCTTTGAGTGCAATTTAATTTCAGGAAGGAGGAAGATTAATATATCTGCTGCCTCGGCCTAGAAACATGGCAAAATGCAAAAGTTATGGAGAAGAAGAAATAAGAAGGTTATATTAAGGATATGGAGCATGCCTGAAATGAAACCCAGGAAGAAGACCTCACCATAAATAAAGAAAATGCTGATATGGGGATGGCTCAGATAAATTGTAAGAGAAGCCTGGCACGAACCTTTAGCAATATAACCCCACACTTGATAGGTCTGTGTGAAAACCAAACCAGATTAGTCAATTCAATGAAGTCTAGAAAGAAACTTCTGGTCATTTAAAGACAGAGTCTTTTTGCTTGTTTTGTAGTTTAGTACAGGTGAGTCTGGATTTTAGCAAGCATTCTGATGTATTTGCCAGATGCCTCAACACTGATTTATGGGCTGCTTGGCAGCAGCAGAAAGAAATATTTCATTCTCTGGCACATTTCAGTAAAAATCTGTCAGCTGGGAATGGAAACACAGCACCACTGAAAAGAAAGCTTTACAGATGCATTTGATAAAATAAGTCAATTCTACTTATATAATTTTATTACATTCACCTTTAAAAAAGGTTATCTTAAGGGGGGAAATTCCAGTTTGTGAGGTAGAGCTTGTCACCACAAGAATATGATGCACAAACAGAAACTGCTAAGAGGAAAGATTAAAATGATGTTGATTCTGTTCAGGCAGAAAGATGCTTGTGGCTTGTGTGACTAACCTCAAGAAGCCTCTTTTGAGTCCTCCTTGCCATAATGACAGCTAAGGCATCTTAGAACACATGGAACATTCACAAAAATGGACTGCCTACAACATGAGCTGAAATCCTTGATAACTTCAGGTGTTTAGCATTTCAGAAAATCAGATCTATCATGCGCCCTATTTGCTAAAAAATGTTGAGCAACAAGAGAAATCAGGACCATTATTACTGTTTCTTTGAAGTCCAATGATGAAAGCCAAAGAAAGAACATATAAAGATCACAGCTTAAATGGTTCAGCAATTATAGTCATAACGTCCCTGTCCTATTGGCATGTTTGGACTTTTTTTAAAAACTGCAGCAAAATTGTAATGCAGTTATAAAGTACAATAAACCTGAGCAGCACTATACAGCCATTATAGGTTGGCTACATAAATAAATCTATTAGGTAATTATTATCAACTGATTTTTCCCACCTTTTTAAAATTCATCCGTATTTGCATCACACATTCTCCAAGAATTCCACAAAATATTAGAATGTGGAGGCTATGCAAGTTTATTATCCATAATTTACAGAACATTTTGAATGGCATATCACATTAAGCTCTGTTTTCACATGTTTAGCCTTACTTTCCTATATGAAATTTGAAAATTTGGGAAGGAAATAAAAATTTCAACTCAAAATAATAAAAAGAGCACAAAAAAGGCAACCATATATAGGCGAATTCATGGCATTACAAACCATGTTTATACTCAGTAAATTAAAATGTAAAGTGTTTGCTGTGATGTCAATAAGTGGAGATAAGAGAATGCAGAAGAAAACTGAACATGAATGTGGTTTGTGAACCCTGTAGAGGAAGTCCCACAAATGAAATAAAATGTTAGATGCTATGACATACTGTAAACTGAATGTGGAGGTGGATCATGAGAGAAGAAAAAAAAAAAAAAAAAGGTCTGTTATTAATTCCGATTAGATAGCCTGATATACTTGCTTCGGCAGTAATTTCTACTTTAAAATTCCTAGAAAACAAGAAAAAAAGTACTAGGAACACATATGCAGCATCCTGCTTCCTGAAAGCTGAACACAATATATCGACCAATTCTGATTTCACGCCAATTTTATCAACTATAACGAGCAAAAGCTGAACAGGAAGGCTGGTTCTGCACGTAAAACATCAGTCTTGAGTTCAATCCCTGGACAATGGCAGCAGGTTTACATTACTCACCAACCTCTACCTCTATTTGCTTTACAACATTTTGTCAGTGAAGTCTCTCTCTAGTTCATATAATACGTGACAGGAGTGATTGCCTCGTTTTAACAACTTGCAGGGCACTGCTGTAATGAATCACTAATCGTGAGACAGCCCTGGACACAAATTATAAAACATTATGGTCAAAGTATCTATTTGTGTAATTGTATAACTAAAAGCAGAGGAGAAGTAGTCTGTTGTAATGATAACAAATTAACAAGTTAGCAAAAATGAATAAAAAAATATGCTCTTAACGTACAGGAAGAAGCAGAAATAATTTTGTTGTGACTGTTGAAATAGATACTCAGTAAATTAAAATGTAAAGTGTTTGCTGTGATGTCAATAAGTGGAGATAAGAGAATGCAGAAGAAAACTGAACATGAATGTGGTTTGTGAACCCTGTAGAGGAAGTCCCACAAATGAAATAAAATGTTAGATGCTATGACATACTGTAAACTGAATGTGGAGGTGGATCATGAGAGAAGAAAAAAAAAAAAAAAAAGGTCTGTTATTAATTCCGATTAGATAGCCTGATATACTTGCTTCGGCAGTAATTTCTACTTTAAAATTCCTAGAAAACAAGAAAAAAAGTACTAGGAACACATATGCAGCATCCTGCTTCCTGAAAGCTGAACACAATATATCGACCAATTCTGATTTCACGCCAATTTTATCAACTATAACGAGCAAAAGCTGAACAGGAAGGCTGGTTCTGCACGTAAAACATCAGTCTTGAGTTCAATCCCTGGACAATGGCAGCAGGTTTACATTACTCACCAACCTCTACCTCTATTTGCTTTACAACATTTTGTCAGTGAAGTCTCTCTCTAGTTCATATAATACGTGACAGGAGTGATTGCCTCGTTTTAACAACTTGCAGGGCACTGCTGTAATGAATCACTAATCGTGAGACAGCCCTGGACACAAATTATAAAACATTATGGTCAAAGTATCTATTTGTGTAATTGTATAACTAAAAGCAGAGGAGAAGTAGTCTGTTGTAATGATAACAAATTAACAAGTTAGCAAAAATGAATAAAAAAATATGCTCTTAACGTACAGGAAGAAGCAGAAATAATTTTGTTGTGACTGTTGAAATAGTTCAAAACCAAGGAAGTGATTATTTTTCAAAGACTTAACATGAAAATAAAAGTTCAACCATCCACAGTGTTTGGATGAATTTCAGCTAAAACCCCCTCCAAAAACCTAAACAAAAAAAACCCCAAACCCCAAGATGTTCACTTACCATACCATCAGAATTCAGATGTAACAATGATTTATGTAAATTATTGTCCTTTCCTACCTCCCGGTTCTCTTGCTGGAGCAACTAATCTGCCCAGTAAATTCCTGGAACCATCTTAAAATCTTTATGATTTGTCACTTCATGAACCCAAAAATTACTTGTAATTGATAATCTGAGGATCAGGAGTGGCTGCTCTGTTTAGATCCTCAATGTGGAAGATACAAGTGCTACTGCCAGCCTAGGAATGAAGTGCTAAAGCAGAACAAAGCCATTGCTTTTCTTCTGGAGATTACAGTATGACAGATCATGAAACACTGCATGATGTTTAATTAATTTAACAATTCCTTGCAATATAACACTAAGCTGTCACATAAAACGTGAATATGACACATTAGAGAAAGAATTAAAGAAATTATGCTAGAAATGTGAGAATAATTGTTCTCATCGTGCTCATTCTGTTGCAAACTGGAAAAAAAACCCAACACCCAAGCCCACAGAATATATAGATTGTTTGGAAAGAACATACCTATTAACTCCTTATTTCTGACATCTAGGGCCATGTTTCGTAAAGCTGTAGCAACTGCACATACCACCCGGTCATTGTCTATTCGAAGCAGTTCCACCAGGATTGGCAATCCTTTTTCTTTGCGGACAGCAGCACGGATATACACCGACCACTGTAAAAACACATGGGAGAGCATGAAGGAGTAAGAAATCCACCATAGAAAGCAAGGCATATAAGGTTATAACAGATACAGAGGTAAGGGGCAACAGAAGCATGTGGATACAAACTCAAACGAGGGGAAATAATTGCATTTATGATGCTAGGCAACCACTTGATTTGGAAATTTGCACTAATTTTTTATGGTGGCAGAGAAATTAAATGATGAATTGACTTTACTGTTCGCACACCTGGTTACATTTTTACAGCCCAAGTCTGCAGACAACTTGCTTTGCATCACCATTTCCTAATTATGCTTGTTCTCTGCTAAAACAACTGAATTTATATTACAAAATATATACTACAAAATATGTTCAAGAAATCTGAGTATTTATTTGTTATCACCATAAGAACTATTCAGTCTAAAAACATGAAAATGTTGTTATAATTTCTCTTGTGGTTGTCAACTTGTTCAGAAAGAAAATGAGGACAATTCTGTGTCTGGTTTTGGCACTTGTAGTGTCCTTACCAGAAGAGTGTTGTACATTGAGGAGTTAGGGATTCGCATAAGAGTTGGCCTGAGGGAGGTGCAGGTCAGTTCTGTGCTGCATGTACTGCACGGCTGCAGGACAAACCCAGCAGCTGATCATACTGGAGAAGTCTGGAGGCATCTCCCCCTTGGCAGCGGGTCATGACACCACTGGCATGCTCTTGCCTTTATCTCAAAATGAAGTAGCATATTCTCCTGTGAACATCCTTTCTGATTGACAGTAGAAATGAAGAATAGTGTTGTTTACTTCACTATGAAGAATAGGGAAGAAAATCCCACAAGAGCCATAAAGACTATCATGCCAGTGAAACCTCTCCATGAATGCGACCTGTGCAGCGTCCTGTGACTAGAAGGTCCATCTAATGCTGCACAACTTGGGGTTCCAAGCACCTGAAGGGATGAAAAATTAACTACACTACCCTCTTTTTCATTCCACTGTTAGCTCCAGAAGTTGGAAAAAAAATAAACAAGACCAAATATGTGACGTCGTGTTTTTAAAATCTATGGATATTGCCAAATTTGAGATGTTTGGACACATGCAGATTGTGCAGGTCTCAGCACAGCCCACTTCAAGCCATCTACTAGGCATATATATTCCTTCCCACATCCTGAACTCTTCTCAGGAATTTTCATAAAGTTCACATTCACACTCCTTGTACAGATAGCTGAAAGGAATTTACCGAAGAAGAGCTTCTCCCTCCTTTCAGTGCTATGGCACAGACACTTATCTTGTACCTGGAAGGTGAAGACACAGTGCTGGAAACCCTTAGCCTTTGAAATACTTCAGGTATTTCAGAAACTAGAATGGTAAGTCTTAAGATTTTCAGATCATGATGACCCTTCTCTTTTGACAAACTTTCCTTAAAGAACAGTTAGGTCACACCTCAAAGAGCAGTTACATCACAATAGTGCTCCTCCATAAACAGAAAGAGTAAAAACAAAATCCAAGAAATAAAGCATTAGAAACAGGTAAGCACGCTCACTGTCAGCACACCATGCTTCACCCCTGCACACAGCCTCTACTTACCGCATGAGGTGCTTACTTTAAAAGCTACCATCTGTTTATACTATAGAGAGGTGCCCTGAATAGCAAAAGCCAGAATGTATTTTATGATAAGAACAGTAAATACAGAGACAGGCAAGGGCTGGAATATCTGGAGTGCAAATTCATTCCAGCTGATGTCATTCAGGGGAAATTGGGAAAAAGGAAAAGGAACCAGCATTTAAAGAATGTTACTGTATTATTTCTCCTCTGTAATAACTATGCATAACAAAAGCCAGCTGGCTGGATTTTGTTGTAGATGAAAGTGATAATGGTTACGATAAGCTTTCAAGCCAGGTAAATGGGACACAGGATTCTCAGCATCACTGAGCACAGTAATGTAATATGTCTAACATGTAAATGTGCCATCATTTTCTGCAGCAAAGCAAATAGCTCTTAGGTGACAGAAGTAGTGGGGGCAGGATTCTTGATTGATCTTATTCTACGCTCTCTCCTCCAGTCTCGTCACTAGAACCAGCATAGAGGATGATCACCACATAAAAACCTGAAACATATCTTAAGCATCAGTGAGTTTAACTGAAACTATCTGCTAAAAAATAATTTATTTCCTATACCTTTATTTGAATGGGATATTAAATATAAAGGATGCTATGAAATCACCAAATTAATCTTTCCAAGCTTCCCGTTTTAAAAAGCATGCATTTCCCTGCCAGTTAAACACCCTCTCACCTGCAGCTGGGAGTACCCAAAGCAATAGCTCTTTGCACTTAAAAAACTCCCGCTGCTGTATTTGCTCCCCCTCTCCCAGGGGAGGCCCCCGCTGTGTTTGCTGTGATTACAAGGTGACTGCCAGAGTGAGAGTTCTTGGTGGCAGGGAGACTATTTTGTGAAAGGAGTGAGCCTGTCTGGCTGAGGTGAGAGTTCAGGCTGGCAGACAGGACACAGGAAGATGCTGTCACTCACTGCAAAAGTACATCACGGATGTGGCACCTCCGATACGGATTACACGGGGAATCAGTGGGGGTGATTGTTTTGTAGAAAAAATCATACTTATGTTTATTCAATACCAGAGAGAATCTAAAATGATCCTACAGATTGTTCACTATATTATAAAAAACTCCATATTAAAACCTCAGTAAACAGTTTTCCTTTGATATTTCTTTTTTAGTCAGCTACCAAGGGAAAACACAAGCACTTGTTTTATGAAACCCAGGTTTACAGCAGACTTCTTGGGTTGTAGTATTTTCATCATCCACTCCAAAACAAAAGTCTAAAAGAAATAAATTATAAAATGGCATTTTTTAGCCCTAGGGAGAGCAGAAGATGTTGTAGAAGAAAAACTGAAATAACTCAGTATGAAAAAAAAGAGAAAATACAACCCCCCTTACTGAATAAATGACATGGAAGCCTTCAGCACCCATAATGAACCAATTAATTTGATCTCAATAGTAAAAAATACAGCTCCAAAGTTTTCATAGGGGAAAAATCCAGATATAATGTTTTACAGACGCACATATGCACACACATACATAAAACAACAGGGGAAAGAGAGAAAAGTATGTACGAAACCTCTCCTCTCCCCTGCGTATTCCTCTCCCCCCCCAGCTCTTTCTTTTTCCAGAGAACACCATTCGCTTTGGGAAAAGTTCACAGACTTCTCAATGTGTGATTTTCTACCATTTCATCTGCGTTTTCAAGTCGTGCACCTTAGGCAGAAAGACAGAAATGTCTATTAATTGTTTCAACAGTCTCCAGAGAACTTTCCAAGTGGAAAGCGGTAAGAACTGTCTGTGTCTTTTTCCTTAAGCTGCCAATTAGGACAAGACTCTGCAAGCAATTACGTTGCGCTGTGTGGATTTCAGGAACGCTCAAATTGAGCTGCCTCAAAACGGCTATTTTATTCTCACAGAGAATGGAAAAATTGATTCGCTCTTGCGTATACTGATGATCCTTTTGTTTGCCTAAAGCCATCGTGAAATGCCTGCATTTCCACATTGCAGGTCAATTGCTAATATGAGCTCAGTGAATTATAAAAGAGATGAAAAATCATAAAAAATAAAAGAGACAAAGGATTTGTTGCCTATCAGCAGGTAAATGAGGCACTCTGCCAATATACTTAATCATCCTGTTACTCCACAAATCAGTGGCAGGGTCAACGATCAAATAACTGTTCAGTTTGTAAAGAGAAAGGGCTCCTATGGGAACAGCAAACACTTCAGAGGAAACAAGGAGCCAAAAAATAAAATAAAATCATTACTGTTGCATCAGATTGCAGCTAAATTATCAGAGACAAGCACAGAAGCCACAATCTGTGCATGAATACTCTTTACAGATAATTGAATTGGGGGGCATAACTACTATACATCACTTTGAAGGTACCTAGTGCATCTCTATGTCCACTTTCATTAGGAGTTCCCTTTTTATTTTTGTCATGGTAATTAAGTAGAAAAATACAGTAAACCAGAAAATTATTTTTTAGTTTGTCATGGTTATTATTATAAGGGACCCTTTCTGGAGCTAAATGCTTCTGGGGATTAAGATTACATTAGGCTGAAACTCAACAAAAGAGTAATTAATCTAGATAAAACGTACTTTTTTTTTTTTTTCAGAAAAATTGAAATGCATTTAGGCATCCTTTTAATGTTTTATATGACTTTCTTTATGCTCCTATGAAGCACCACCACAGAAGACTAAATTAAAAGAATGAAGAAATTTCCAGCACAAAATGAAAAAGAAAAAAATTCACCACAGTAAATCCACAAAAATACCCCAAGGAATAAGAACAATTGCATACACTTGATATTTTGAATGGATTCACTTTCCTGCCATTGACATCTGTGTTATTGGAGTACCTCCAGACTATTTCATCACCCCATACTTCCATACTACATTCTAGTTTTGACTAGAATTTGCATTGTATTAGTACAATTCAACACCATGACTCAAAGACTATTGAGATATTGAATATTAAAGGGAATTGATGACACACAAACTACAAAATGAAAGTCAAATCAGGGCAGCAACCATGACAAAGCAAACTCAATTACCAAAAGAACCAGGAAGATTGGAGAAACTCAGAATTTGCTTAGTCAGAGGATTAGAAAGGGTCTGTCTGCTCACAGTAGTGGAACCATGAATGTGAATTGCATGTTGAATAATCAAAGATCAATGAGTAATCAAAGATCAATATTCCACTTGGTTTGATCATACATGCATCAGGGAAAAAAGAGATTATTTTTACATTCCACTTAGAAAATTACAGATCTACTTTACTCCAATAACTCTACTGGGATCTCTGTGAAGTCACCCCACCTGACAGAGAGGAAGGCTCTGCAAACTTGATTAGCTTTTTGCAGTCTCTGAAGAGTGCAAGCACTTTCCAGGGACTTTCTGGTCACTGACTGCAGTGTTTTGTTCTCAGAAATGTTCTCGAAATCTGGTAGGCCATCAGTAAGTTCTCTAC